TGTTCCCTCACTCTCTTTTTCAATATCTTCCAGCACTGCAGGCCCCAAATCTGCCTTCTGATTCCCCCAAATGCTCTCTGAAGGCTCAGTCTGTGCTGGCCTTCTCCTTCAGCCCCTATCCTGGCCTATCCCCATTTTTTTCCCACCCTGGTGACTTCTGGCCTTTCTCTTATAGCTTGTTCTTTCCCTTCCATCTGCCCATTGCCCAGATCCACAGGCCAAAGCCCAGGCTGCAGCCGCCTGAACTGCCAAGTTTCCTTCCTCAAAGAACGCAGCGAGGCAGGGAGGGGATGAATGGGTTAATAATGTTTTTCCTCTCACAAACAGGCATGCATGTGTCAGTCCAGCTAAGCGCAGAATCACAAGGAGTTTGCAATGGTTCCTATCTGAGGAGTGAAATTATGGGACTGTTCTTTCCCATCGTACTCATTCCTGTATTGTTTATTTTAAAGCGAGCATGTATGACACTTGAAATTGGAAAAAAATAGAGATTTTTCTTAGTTTTTTCAAAATTAAATTAGGAAATTGGGGCAGAGAGAGGAAATATTAATAGTATAAAAAGGCAAAAGCAATAATAAAATGAATATCCTAAATATATTCCACTGGTCTCATATTTAAGTCATGTAAAGTTCTCAGTGTGGGGCCCAGCACAGACTTGATAAATAGCAGCTATTGTTGGACTTAATGAGTTTCAGTCCCTCACTGAAACTCAACTGCCCAATTCAATCAGAGTAGTTGGTGGCTCAAGGAGAAGCTAGAGGGGGGTCAGGCACAACATCTTGGCCCCCTGTTTCACATCAGGCCTGGAGTTGGGGGGCGTGGCGGATCCTGGCTCCTTCTCTGCAGGGTAGGATGAGTCAGGAATGGCCTCACTGGTTTTGACAAGCTCTGCCTGCCTGCAACCTGGCTCTACCTGCGGGGTTTGAGTGTGGTGCCCCCTCCCCTGCCAGCCTCTTCCTGAGCTCTTTCTGATGTCCTGGTGACTATATCCTCTTGGACAGGCTGGCATCTGTTCCTGGAAAGTCTGGTGATTTCCTCAGGAGCCCTAGGTTGTAATTTCAGTTCAGTTATCAAGACAAAACAAAATTAAAAATTAAAAAGCTCTTATAATGAGTCTCATTCTTTCTGCATGCCTATGGGCTGCCCGGTTTGTCCAACCTCTATCTGACTTGGCATGTGGCATTCGTTCAAAAGAAAAAAGAAATCAGCCAACCAAAAAGGATTCTTTGGGTACCTACTGTGCACTGGACATAACCAAATATCCACTCTGTACAAGACGGTGACAGAGGCAAAGCAGAGGAAGGGTAATACCAATAATAGCGGTTGCCATATATTGAAAGCCTGTGAAAAGTGAGCCCTTCCACAAATTCTGGCAGATTCCTTTTGGATCCTGGTGAGTCCTAAGGCTGAATGACTTAGTAACCCACAGCTAAACTAGAATGCCAGGTACCTCTGAGGGGCTCCCTGTGGTCTGGCCAATCGGAACCCTCGGCCACAGTGATTGGCCGACGAATTGACACACGTTTCGGTGAGAGCCAATGAGACTCAGTCTGGGGAATCTTGTTGGAACTGCAGGGAAAAGCCAGTCCCTGTTTCTGTTTGAGTTGCTGAGAGAGTAGCATGTGAGCCTGCTGCTGCCGGCAGGTAGCTTGTCATCATGAGAGAGCCTGCCAAAACAACGAGGCCAGGAGAGAGGCAAGAGTCAAGAGATGGAGTGAAGGAGACCGAATCCTCATGACTTCATCCAAGCTCCTCATGGAGCCCTGCCTACAGCTACCTCTACCCCTGCACTTTGTAGTTACATAGGCAAAAATGTTCCTTCTTTTTTGTTCTGGCCAGTTTAAGCAGGGTTTTCTGCCAGTTTGTGCCCTGATGATCTGACTGAGCAAAAGTTGTGCCCAGAGATTTCAGTATTTAAGGGAAGCAAGCACCCCTCCAAATCTCATCCACTCTCCAAAAGGAAACATGTTCTCCTGCCACACAACTGCCCATGTCTCTGTCAGAGAGCACAGTGAGCCCTTAAATGCCAACAGAAGCAGCAGCATGCCAGCAAAAGAGCAAATCTCCTCAAACTAGCTGTGCCTCCTTGGACAAATCACTTTCCCTCTCTGAACATTGATTTTTCTCACCTGCAATATGAGAGTAGCGTGGGAATCATAGCATCTACCATATAATATTGTGAGAATCACTAAGATAATATTAAATACCACAAAGCGCCTACCACAGTGTCTCGCACATAATAAATGCTCAACATTTATTGTGGCTGGCTGTTCCCAGAAAGCTGTTTGGAGGAGGTGATCTCGGGGGTTCCCTAAGGAGTTGGCAGCAAACCTTCTCACTTGCTTTCCCTTGGGCAGCATAAGACCAGGGGCTGCCTCTCCCAGAGCAGCCCGGTGGAATGGGAGGGACCCAGGCATCACACTGGGAAGCCTTGGTTCTAGTCCCAGTTCTGCTGCCAGCCCAGTGAGTAAGCTACCCACCGCCCCCCACCAATGTACCCATTTCAGAAACAATAAAGTCACAACCTTTCTCATCTTGTTTTCTTCATGGAGCCAGGACCACACCTTGTTCATTGCCCATCTCCTTAGTACTCAGCCCAGTTCCTGCCTCACTAACAGAGCATTCCAGAATGTTCACTGTACGAGTGAATAAAGTGTGTCCGTAATATCCAACCTTTCTTCTTCTCTTTGGAATTTACTGTTGGAGTGCAACAGAGACAGAAAAGCACACAGATCTTAAGGAGACTGCTTGATGATTTTTCATAAACACCTTTCCCTCCCCAGTACCTAGCCCTTATGAACACCCAGGATAACTGGATTCCCTTTTTGTGTCTCCCTGGAACTCCAGATGTCCCTCCAGGTATCAGGTTATGATTCCCAGGAAGACACTAAGGAATGGTCAGGAATCTGAAACCAAGCCAGGGGCAGCTAACGGTATAAGTTACCCAGGAAGAAGAGAGGGTCTGGGCCTTCAGGTCTGGTCACCTTCAGGACATGGCCTGACACTCCCCTCCTGAACATGCCTCCCCACTGCTACACTCACCATGCTCGCAGGCCTGGCCCCTGTGTCCTTCCCTCCATGTTGAAGAATTCAACATGCAGCCAAACGGAGAGGACAGTGCAGTGAGCTATTTCCACAGAGCCCTGCAGGTTCCCACACACTCTGCCCAGGAACGGATGGTCCCCTTTGGAACCTGACTCTGTGTGCCTAGACCTTCTCTCCCCCACATGCCCAGGCTCACTCTGGGCCAGCTCCTGGGCAAGGGTTGCTGCCAGCTGCTCCTCCTCTTCTCTGCTGGTAGTAAGTTGTCTCTCTCTCTCTTTCTCTCTCTCCCTCCCTGAGGTCTCCTTGGCTCCCAACCAATTCAACCTCTCTCCCCACATGGCTAGCAGGCAAGATTTCTTAGGTCTTTCCTTCTGGCCTCATGAACTCTTAGACATCCTTCAAAGCCCAAATCCCAAATCCCAACACTTCTGGGATGTCTTTGTCTCTTCTGAACATATACATCCCCTAAACATTAGTTTCTCTTTCTCAGCACAACACAAATATAGATGATCACAAAAGTCACACAACAATGTCACAGAAACACACACAATTTCACCACACACAATGCTTTTATCGCTTTTTCTTGAAAATTGGGCTACAGGCCCGGCGCAGTGGCTCACGCCTGTAATGCTAGCACTCTGGGAGGCCAAGGCAGGAGGATCACTGGAGCTCAGGAGTTGGAGACCAGCCTGAGCAAGAGTGAGACCTCAGCTCTACCAAAATGAAATTTAAAAAACCCAGCTGGGCATTGCTGTTTGCACCTATAGTCCCAGCTACCTGGGAGGCTGAGGCAGAAGGATCGCTTAGAGCCCAGGAGTTGGAGATTACAGTGAGCTACAAGGATCCCACTGCACTCTACCCAGGGCAGCAGAGTGAGATTCTGTCTCAACAAAAACAAACAAGGAAATTGAACACCCCTCCTCACAACCTCTCACCCCTTAATAAAAATAAAAAAAAAGAAAAGAAAATTGGGCGACATACAAAGTTGTACCAAATCATAGCCTCGTCCCTCTCCTGTGTGCACACATGCACATGTACAAACAACACCACAAAACCACAGGGATTTGTTCTCTACTTGTTCACAACAGGAACACAAAGTCTCTTTCTACCACACCAACATGCACGCACATGCACAACAGGACACAAATGTACAGTCCACACATCATACAAATATACCGACACACACCGTTTTCTGTTCCTTCCTCCTTTACTGGCACTTACGCAACATACATGTAGTGAGTTTCTCTCCTGGACATGCAAACGCACATGTAGGGAGAGCCATGGCTCCTCTGCTTCCCTTCCACCTCCTTCCCTCGCCTGGCATCTCTCTCTCTCTCTCTCTCTCTCTCTCACTCACACACACACACACACACACACACACACCCAGTAACAAACCTCAAATATAGTCAGTCTGTTTTTCTTTCACACATAAACACACAGGCATGCGGAATTCACCCCTCCCCCCCCGTTTATGTCTCCTCTCCTCCCTCCTCCTTCCTCTCTCTCTCTCTCTCTCTCTCTCTCTCTCTCTCTCTGTCTCACACACACACACACACACACACACTAACACGCACGCAGCTGCAGCGCCCTGGGTCACACTCCAGTGCAGGCGCCAGACAGGAGACAAAGGTCGCTGAGGCTCCCAGCACCCCGCACTGGACACAGCTGAGCCACTCCGGCTCCACCTGCCCCCGAAGCCGGTCCCGGCGAGGTCTGGAGCATGCACCCCAAGCGGGAGGCTCAGACCGAGCCAGCCCTCCGGAGACCCCACGCAGCCCGGGCCTCCAGCGCCCGGCGCGCCAAGGGTTAAGGAGCCCGCGGGGGCGGGGGCAGTCGGGCCTCCGGGCGCGATTGGCTGCGCCGCCCCGGCCCGGGCCTCCGCGCCCCGCCATTGGCCCTGCGGTGGGCCCCGCCCCCCCGGGACTCGGCGCCGGAGCCGCGCGCTCGCCCGCGGGGAGCCAAGCGCGCCGCCGGGGCCAGCCAGCCGCGCCGTCCGAGCAGCGCGGAGCGGAGCGGGAGCCCGAGCCGGGAGCCGCCTGCCGGGCGCGGGGCGCCGGAAGCAGCGCGGAGCCGGAGCGGAGCACGCGAGCTATGGTGAGTGCCGCGCCCGGCCCGGCGTTCTGGTCCAGCCTCGACGGTCCCCGGCGGCGGCGCCGCGGGTGTCCCCGGGTCGGCCCAACTCGCGGGGGGCTGGGCGCTGGCTGCAGCGGCGGTCCCCGCCAGGCTCTCGCAAGGCGTGGAGTCTGGGGGCGCCTGGGCAGGGCTCGACTCTCCGCGCGGCGCTGCGCTCGGTTCCGTCGGGGGCGGCCCGACTGCGCCGAGCTTGGCTGTGGGCAGCTGGCCGGGGCTGGATGTGAGGGGCTCGGTGTGGCCAGTTCGGTTTGAGGACATTGGGGTGTCCAGAGGTCCTTAGTCTCATTTGAGGTGTCCAGAGGTCCGTGGTCTCGGCTTGACTTGGAGACCCTGGGCAGCCAGGCTGGGTCGGGTTCGCAGGTGGCGGTGATCCTGATGCGTCTTGATCCAGCTGGACCTGAGTGTCCCGGGAAGCAGAGGTCGGTCTCCACCTGGGGAATCGTGGGTGGCTGCGACCAGCGCATTCCGAGGGCCAGGTTGGGGCTCTCTGGGACTGCTGATCCCCTGTGGCCTAAGGGGTGGAGGTGGTGGCTGAGCAGCCAGGTCAGAGACCGTCAGAGACCAGGGGACACTTGGGAGCCCTGCGCCCAGTGATCCTGTCTCTCCAGCATCTCCTAGTAATGGCTCCTCAGAGGGGGGGTTGGTGGAGACTGAGTGCTGACTGGGATGGCACCAGAGAAAAGGGGAGAAGGGGAGGGGGATTTCATGAGGGTCTCTGAAGCCCCCAAGGAGAAATCCATTTCATCCAGGCTGGGCTTCTTGAGGGCTGTGGGGAGGGGTGTTGTCTCTGGAGCCCAAGAGCCAAGGCCCTTCATTTCCCTTTCTGGGGGCTGGTGATTGCCTCCTCATCACAAGATGAAGGCCACCTACTTCTCTTCGGCTTCTTTTCTCCATGGTCAACTCCCTTCCCCCCACCCACTCTCCCCCCAGTCCTGTTCTGTGCCCCGTGAAGTGGGTGCAAGTCACCTTGTTGGTCCTGAGGAGGGCATGTGCCATCATCGTGGCTGCCAGTCCCAGGAATGCAGCCACCTCCACTTCTCTGTGATGCCACTGCCAAGTCTGGGGGAACCAGTGGGAGCAGGACAGACCTCCTATAAGCCAAAGAGTCCCCCAGCGACTCCCCAAGACCAAACCCTGCTCTGGCCAGAGCTGGAATCTTATTACAACCTCCCAGCCTCTCCCCTCCACGTCCCCTCTCTTCTCATCCCGCTAGTGTCTTCCTCCCTTATTCCCCACCTCTTGCCTCTCTGGAGTCAGTAGGAGTGGAGTTATGACGTAATTCTACACCCGAAGGTGCTTAGAGACCATCTTGGACTCAACCTACCTCCTTGGTTAGGAATCTCCCCTGGAACACCCTGCCTCGGCAGTTTCAGTGGCAGGGAGGATACCACCCGTGGACCAGCACTTGATTTAAAGTCTCAGTATATGGGCAATAAAAGGAGATAAGAATTGGAGGTTATATCATCCACCCTGCCTCAAAGCCAAATCTGCCCTAAGTTACTCAGAAAGAGAACTTTTTCCTCTTTAAAAACCACCAAAAAGAGAGGTCCCCATTCTGCCTTGGTGACACTTTATGGAGCCTTACAACCTGAGCAGCCTCCTAGCCCATCAGGAAGACCCCAGGCTTTGGCATCAGACAGATTTGGGTTCAAATCCCAGCTCCTCCACTTCCCCACAGGAACTTTGGTCTGGTTGCAGCATCAGCGCTGAGTTTCAGTTTCCTCATCTGTGAGATGAGATGATAGGTCTTATCTTCCAGGAGTGAGATTACCAAGTGAGAGTGCTTTTCTTGAATACAGCTTAGTTTCCTTTCTTTTACAGTCTTGAGCTCAAGTTGAGCAGCTCTATGTAACATCTAACCTAGTCTGGAAGAAGGATTAAAGTTTATAATATCGTGGAGAGAAGAAGGGGACAGTGATACTTAGAGAATCATTTGTTCGTCATTCAATAAAAATTTATTGAACACTTCTACGCCGAACCTTGTGCAAGGGAGGAAACACAATAAACATAAACACTGTGTTAAGGGAGCTTCCACTGGGCCATTAGTGTCTGCAGTGGTCCTCAGGCCAGGTGGCATGCCTTTAGGAGAGGTAGAGATATCGTGCCAGGCAAGGGCTCCCTTCTGGCTGGAGACATGAGAGAAAGCTTCATTGAACAGATGGCACTGAACTGGAAAGAATGTCCCAGGTAGGGGGACCTGTGTGACAGAGGACCAGAGCTGTGAGAGCACAGGAAATGCTCAGAAGCCCAGGACGGGGTTGGCCTGGTACCTGGGTATGAGAGTGAGGAAAGAGGAGAGAAAGTGGGCAAGGAAGTTGCTGGGGCCAGAGAGTAAAGGCTTAAGGCAGGCGGAGGAAATGCTCTGTGATCGCGGACCCACCGCGAATGGGTGGGGTGGAGGCTGATGTCAGGCCTCCTCGGCGCCTGTCATGTGGGTTTCCCCTAAACGCTGGTTCGTGTGCTGTCATTCCTGAGGGGGTGGTGAGTCAGGACTGATAAGGTGTTTATTCCCTGGATCTCCTGCTCCGTGGGTTTTAAACGAATGCAGCGTTCCCTCCCAGTGTGGCCAGGTTTCCCCTGGCCCTGGGTTCCGAATGGGGCTCTTTGGAGAGCATGTTGTTTGTTTCCTGTTGTCCTCCTGAATCTCCTGATGGTCCCCAGCTCCCCACCCAGGTCTCTAAGCCCTTGGCAGGGAGTCAGCACTGTTCTTAAAGGCCTCAAGTGGACCCTCCCCCTCCCACCCCCTCCCCTGCAGGCTGTGGGGTGAGGGTTGTGAGGAGGCTTTTTATATCTCCTGCCTCCAGTCATCCTCAAACCACCCAGCAGGAGGCACAGAGAGGTGAAGGAGGTTGCCCAGGGTCACAGAGCAAGATAGTGCCAGAGCAGGCACAAACCTCCTGGACGTTTGGAGGGTTAACCAGGCAGACAGGTTGGGGGAAGGAGGCCCAACCTAGCATTCCCAGTCTGCTGTGTGGCGCCTTGAGAATGTTCCTTCACATTCCAAGCTGGGGGCTGAGTTTGGGCCATGGCTGAGGGCTGGGAATCAGCTTTACTGCAGAGTGGTTGAGTTGAAGACAGGGTCCAGGGCCTAGGCTTGAATCCTGGAGGTGCCACCAGCTTGCTGTGTGACCTTGGGTCAGCCATTCTCCCTCTCTGTGCCCCCTTGGCTACCAAGTGGGACAGATTTGCTCTGTTTCTCAGGATGTTTCTACAATGGTTGTAGGAACACTGCGGAAACTATTAAGAATGTGAGGGAAAGTGTTATTGTTTGAAGATAGGAGGCTAGCCACATGCCCCAGGCCACGGCCGAGCCTCCCAGAGCACAGCGGGAACCTTGCCCTGGGCAGCCAGCGCCTGTGCTGCTAACCGGGCTGCTCCTTTGCATTGCTACATTTTTGGGTACACAAGCATGTTGTTACCTTTTGTTGAAGAATAAATACAGTTCCCCAGACAGAACTGGAGAGACCAGGCCCTGTCAGGCGAGAAACAGGATTTGGGGAGTGAGAGAACCACAGAGGTGGGCTCGGCAGAGCGTTTGGAGCATTAGCCGAGACATAACCAGCTTGGCCAAAGTCCACACTTTGACATCTGTGGCGAGGGAGGAGCCATGAGCAAATGTTTACAACTTTTTGTGCTTCTGCTCAATTTTTTTCTCTTCAGTTGACTAGGCACACACCCCCGCCATAGTCAGCGTGCTTCATTCATTCATTCATTCATTCACCAAACGAGGTGAGTGGGGCTGCGGTCACTGCTGATGGGACCGGCAGGTCTCTCCTCCACACGCTGACGGACGGCGGGCAGAGCAGGAAATTACAAGCACAATTACTGTTGCCAAGGAGACACATGGGGTGCTGTGGGAGTAGATAGGGGAACATGGCCTGGGGATCAGAAAAGGCTCCCTGAGGATGTGACATTAAAGCTGTGGCCTGCAGGATGAGTGGGACCGGGAAGAGAGTCTGGGCAGAGGGGGCAGCATGTGCGAGACATGCAGAGCACGGTGCCTGCGGGAGTGAGCTCACATGGAGCACAGCGGGCGATGCTTGGGAGGTGGCCGGGGGCAGGGGCACCCAGTGGTGGTCACGTTAAGGATCTGGGGCCCAGGAAAGGAGCTGGGCCTGGCTGCTGGACCTTCTTGCAACCACAGAGTGCTTGTGTTAGAAGGGGGTTAGGAACCATCTCATTCAAAGCCCTTGGCTCACAGGTGGGAAGACTGAGGGGCAAAATGAGCATCTACTGCGTCCTGGCACGTGAATGTCGTCTCTTTGCTCTTCACACAACCCCAGGAAGTGTGGATACCCCTATCTCAGAGCAGTAAAAGCTGAAGTCACTTAGGGAACTAGGGACTGGAACTAGGCATCAACCTCCTGAGCCCTCAAGGTTCTGGCTTTAGTCCCAACCTGCCACTCAATTGAGCAGACACTTGGCCTTCCCGAAAAAGCCCCCCAGGACAGGGGTAGAGTGTAGAGCCAATAGCCAGAGGCGTTGGGAGCCGATTGGGGCAGGACACAAGGAGGCTGAAATGCTGATTATCTTCCACCTGCGCAAGCACTTGATAGTTAGGCCTTTTCCTCCCCATACGCTGGCTGTCCTTGGATCGCACTGACAATTAGTGGCAGTGCGAGGACTTGAATCCAGGCCTTGTGACTCCCAGCCCAGACCCCCATCTCCCCAGCTCAGATAACAGCCCCTCCCTGCCTGACACTGCCCAGGCCCCCAGCCCAGGGCTCCAGTGGCCCCGTGACCGAACATGTCCCAGGCTTTCTGACCACATGGCCCTGCGAGCAGGGAGAGCAGCCCCTGGCCCAGAGCCTCCTCTTCCCGTCCTCTTCCCCGCACACTGCTTTGCCTGCTTGGCTGGGAAGGCAGGAGGGCCGGCCTGGGGAGACAGCCAGGTGGGGTAGGGTTACAGTGTAAACACAGTCATGTCAATATTTACTTCTACTGGAACCAGTGCCTCTCAC